GGAAGAAGAATAACAACTACAATCTTTTGAAGTTGTTACAACAAGCAAACGGAAAGGACATTCTTGGGTGGGAGGGGGGAGAGGGAGGAGGGAGGGAGGTTTCGGTGATGGGCCATAATAACCAACTACATTGTATATTGACAAAATAAAAATTAAAATAAAACAAAGGAAATACATTTTAAAAAATAAATAAATAAAAATAAAATAAAATTTCTAGCCAAGAAAAAAAAAAAAAAGGTATATCATTTTGATCCCTAAAATAAACCCCAAATATCCAAACCTGCACCATCAGGGAACAGTCTGAGGACCCTCTGCAGCCTTCAGGAAGTGCACACCCTCTGGTGCCTGCTTCAGATTTAGTAGTATTTAATACAGAGCCAAAAAGGATTCCTATAGAACAAAGCCAGAGGCCATAGTAGCCAAATGATGAGGGATTCCTTCCAGTGGGAACAACCAGAACTACCAGATGAAGCTAATTAAGAAATGTACACCACTGCCTGGGCAAGGAAGCCTCAAAATGCCTGCCAAGTTGGATCTAATAAATACTATGACTCTGTGATGCAGTATTTTCCATCCTGCACTTTTCTTAATGAGACTTTTTATGGTACTTTTCCAGTTGCTACCCTCACCATTGTCTATTTTTGTGGAGTTGGGAATGAGGGGTGTTCACTAGACCACAGGGTGACTCAAAGCTGATGGATATGATTTATATTACCCAAAACTATCTGGCTCTTCTAATATATTAACCAGATGGAACTTTGGGGTTGTCTTCCTTGGTGGAGGTGGGGTAGGTAATGGAGTGTGTTCTATTGGTGAAAAGAAGGGTGCAAATAAGTATTTGGTTGGTAGAGAGATGAGCTGTAGCAGAGACTGTTACTAGTCCTACATTATCCCCTTTTCTGTCATAAGAATTAAACTCCATGTTTTAGCCATGGGAGATCATGCCACCTCTCCACCTCATCAAATAAAGACCACTTTTACTAATTTTTGTTGTAATTAGATGTGGCCATGTGACTAAGTTCTGGTTAAAGGATTGTGAAAAACAATGATACATGGGACTTCCAAGCTGTGTCCTTAGAAAGAATGGACATGCTCTCTTCTCCTTTCTATTCTCCTCCTTTCTGGAATGTGGACCTGATGGGATTCTGGAACAGCCATCGTGGACATTGAGAACTGCTGAGCAACAGATGAGAGGAGCCTAGATCCCTGGTGAGAGTGAATCCATTCATCTTAATGACACCAGATCACTTACCAGAGAAATAAACTTTTGACTTATTTGAACCCCTACTATTTGTAGCCTCTATTTTAGACCTTACATGGGGAATGTTGTGAGACAAGCTGATGGCTGTATCTACAGGCCTGTGGTGGTGGCTTGTAATTTAGAATTAAACATAACAACAAATACTGTGGTATGATTCAGTATTCCAAATATTATCTAAACTGGCTTCATAAACTCTTTATCTGAAGCCATGACCCCTCCCAGCAATGTTATAACAAATTGAAATATAATCATTATTTAAATATGTAGAACAAGAAACGAAGAAGAACAGGCCAAACACGTAAATGATGGTAGACTTAGAATAAGAATTTTTAGAATTTGATCACAATTTTATTTTTCTCAGTAGTAGCTTTATTCTGAGGTGGTAAAGAGGACATTATGTTGATTATTACCGTAATATTCACAATTGCACCCTGCCACTACTAACACCAAATTCAATAATTAAATGCAAAAATATTAATTTAAATGCTTACTTTAATTTCTTACAAATTTGTCCTACAAATATATTCATACATGGGAAATTGCAAGATTAAATGTCCATCAATAGTGAACTGGTTAAATAAACCAGAATTATCCCTATGACTAATAACTATATAGCAGATAAAAGAATGAGGAAGCTCTGTGTATGAATACAGACTGATCATCAAACTAAAACATTAATCACAAAAATGCAAGAATTATTTTAGAAATATAGTCTGTTTCTTGAAGGACATACAAATTATAGCAAACACTTGAACAACACAGGTTTTTAACTGCACATGTCCACTTAAACATGGATTTTTTTCAATAAATACATTAGAAAAATTTTGGTTAGGTATGTCATGAATGCATCACATACCTAACCAAACAGTTAAGTAGCCTACCTAACAGTAGGCCACTAGTAGTTAGGTAATCAGCTAACCCCCAAATTCTGTGGGGCAAAAGGTGGGGGGAAGCATGATATACTCAAGTAGTAGATAAGTAGTTAAGTTTTGGGAGAATCAAAAGTTATACATGGATTTTCGATTGTATGGGAGGTGGGCAGTCAGAACCCCTAATTTCCTCACTGTATACAAATACATACTATATTCACTTATGCAGATTAAACTAGTAATGTTGACTGTGTGTTGGGAAAATGGATGGAGAGGGAAGAGAAGTGGTTGGGAGACTTTTCACTCTAGATCCTGTTGTATCTTTTGAAATCTGAACCATGTGAATATACTACCTATTCAAAAAAATTACATCTAAATTATGAGAAGAAGCTCTTATTGGCGGGAATTTAATGTGCTTCACAGCTATTACTCCATTGGGTTTGAAATGTCAAGGGAGAAGGAGGTGAGTATTTTTGCTGTTCTTTTGTAGACCATGAAGGTCAGGCATAGAAAGGTGAAGTACATGGTTCTGAATCAAGGCAAAGAGTAAACCCAAACAAATATATATGGGATAAATGCTTGTTTGGTGAAACAGTATGGCTCAGTGAGTATGATCCCAGGCTCTGCGGTTCTGAATCAAGGCAAAGAGTAAACCCAAACAAATACATATGGGATAAATGCTTGTTTGGTGAAACAGTATGGCTCAGTGAGTATGATCCCAGGCTCTGGCAGCAAATGGCTGGATTCAAAACCCAGCTCTGTCACTTACCAATCAAGTTCTTGATTAAATCACATTTTTCTTATCTGTAAAATGAGTGATAATAATAGTATCTACTTCATACACATAAGGTCAGTAAGGACTGAATTAAATATGCATTGTAGAGTCTCCAGCATGTAGAACTTAATAAATATTGGGTAATATTATTTATCCTCCCACTGTATTTTAACAAGAATTTTAAAAGACTTGAATTAGTATTTAGTTGATATTTTCACTGGTGGGGACAAGTAAAACAAACAAAACAAGAACAACCACTTGTGTCATGTGTTCAACAAAACCATTCATTTTCCTCTTGGGCACCTTGCTGCAGTTGAATTGGGGCATGTGACTCAGCTCTGGCCGATGGAGAGTGTGTGGAAGTGATGCATAAAATGTCCTGGCATGATTTATAAAATCTCACTGCCGAGTCTTTATTCTCACTCCCTGCTTTTGCAGCAAACTTGGAGACTGAAGGTTGAAGGTGGAGATGACACAAAAGGGAAGGGGCCTGACCCTGAAGAACTGCACAGCACAGAGTCCCTCTGCCCATTAGCACTGGATTGTGATATAAGCAAACAATAAGCTTTTATTGTGTTAAACAACTGAGATTAGGATTTTTTTCTTTTGTCTTGGGGGTTTTGTTTGTTTGTGTTGTGTTGTTACTGCAGCATAACATAGCCTTTCTTTTATGTAGCCTTTTAAAATGTGCTGCCCCTTCATGACAGCTGATTTACTTCTGTGTGTCTGTGTTAATCCCTCTTATTTATATGGATGATTCTTTCTCTCTATCTCTCTCTCAGACATACACGCACATGCACACTCACACGCACATTCACGTGCATCCCCATCTTTCTTTCTCTTTTCTTCAATACTCTCTCACATGTTTTTTGTTTCTTTCTTAAAAGACCATAATATAGTAGGTGTTTGCTGTGTTACTGGGCTTATTGAATAGTACCTCCCTCTAAATTTCCAAAGCCCTCCCTGTGATATGCAATGACTGCTTTAAATATGCAGTCAGTAGGACAACCAGCTCTTCTAACTAGAAAATGTTACCTGCTAAGATAAAGGCATAAAAGTTATAATAGAATATTTACTGGTTGTTTCAATTTTTTGAGGATGACCTTGGGAGATTTGCTTTTGTGTGGACAAGGAAATCAGTGACACAATTCACAGAGATAGTCTGAGTTTGCTTGGATAACCCTCAGTGCTGCCAAATGATTAGAAACATTCCCAACCAGTGAGCATCTTTACCTAAACCTTGTGATTTTAGAAAAGTTCACATAAATCACCATTATGGGCAAATGGAGAATTACTGATTATGCAGTTTGGCTGGTCCCTTTAATGTAAGGTACTCTTTTTTTTAGTTCTGTCAAGCCTCTCTTTTATTACCTACTGTGTTGCTGAATCTTTAGATTTAAAATAAACAATACCAACAAAATCAAAATGATTCAGAATGTCAGTGCTGTATATTTTTTTATTGGAAAAAATGCACTTGAATAACACAGCTGTGGCTTAAAAAGAAAAGAGAAATTATTTTAAGTGTGTGGATAAAAAGAAACTGACAGACATGAAAAGAACTAATCCATTTTTTCCCAGCACAGTAGTCATGAATTCTTCAACTGAACACACAACTGGGCTACACAGAATGAGTCAGAAAATAAAACATCTGAATATTATCATAGAGCATACTTACAAATGCTGTGTACAAGTTGACTTAGATTATGCTTCTAGGAGTTTTTCAGATAATATTCAGAATTCTAACTCTCTACAAGCAGAAATAATTTGTGGCTTCAAGGACATTTTCACAATAATAGAGTCAAGAAGCTCAATTACTATCACAATGAATGAGAAGCTTAAGCTACACTTTGCCTTTCCATTGTTTAGGATATCCTTTCCATCTTGGATCATTATTTTCCAAACATCTATGAAGACTGAAGAGTTACATATTCATGATTAAACTTCAAGAACAACACATTTATTGACATTGGCCATGTATTTTCTCAAGCTTAAAAAGTAAATACAAATAAATACACTAAATTTTTTCAGCATTTCAAAAAATATATTGGAGTTTGCTATTTATTTCTGAACAGGTATGGGGTGGGGTTTCTTGGCCTCAGAATATATGTTTGTACTTCTTGCCACAGTCACCATCATTACTATGACTCATGCCATCCAGATGGTGGGTACTAGTAAATTTGTACCTGCTCTGTTTAAGAGAACATTTCTGAGGTGAACATGTCCACTGATTTCAGCATCTGTTCAACAGATTTCCATACCTATTCACAGAGGGCAGAACAATGTGAATGCACTACAATCTCTGAAACTTACTCTCTGAGGCCGGACTCATTTATCTATTTCTTTACACACATCTCAGCAATGGACACTGGGGTGCAGATAAAAGATTGTTTGTTTTTTTACACAGCAGCAACTTTAATGGTTACCTTAGGGAACTTTAGACATATCCTCAAGATTAAGGCCCAGTGAGAAGGAGAGAGCTTCAAGAGTAGCACCCCAACCCAGCTAAACTTATAACCAGAACATCCTCCTGCACTATGTCCCACTAGGAAGTGTGTAAAATCAGTCTACGGCTGAGCTTTCTGTAAATAAAACCAATGTCACAAAAGTAAGAAATATAGGTAATTATCTCATTTTAGAAAACTCCAAAATTAATGCAATTATTACTTAACACATGTCTTTACAAAAAAATTTAGATGAGAGATAGAACTATTGTCTCCAGGCATATACATGGATATATAAAAATGTATATACATACATATGATACATAAATAGATGGATGGATGGATGAATAGATGGTTTTTTTCCTCATATTCTTCCATGGAGTGGACATATACATTTGTAGCTATAATGGTATTTGTCATCTTACAATTTGAATGGCATGCTGCATGTCAAAAGCTCAAAAAAGACTAAATCCAAAAAGCAACTCTGGCATACTGGGATTATGCCCCATTGGATTTAGACTGAAGGTTCATCTCTGAATGAGAAAATTACCTTTCATTCCACCCTGTCGCTGTGTTATGCTCTCTACGCAGAGGTAGCAGCATGTCTGGAAGTGAGGCAACTATTCCTCTATAGGCCCTTCTTGTACAAATGTGCACCTGCTCCAAACACTTCTTTCTCACCATAGCCCAGCATGCAAACCACATACACCAAATATATTAAGTCCTTGGTTCATTCTGCTACATATTTTACTTATTCACTGCCTCTGGGTCCTTGATTTCTCTTTCTGTGCTCTGGAAATTAGGACCATGTCTCTTTAGCTTGAGTCCTTAAATTTTGCACCATACAACCATGCCACAAAGATGCATATTAAGTACATTTTGGTTATAAGCTCTCCTAAGGATACATGAGAGTCACTGACATGCTACCATGTACTCCTCTCCAAAGTCTGGCGAAGGAAATGGGGGATGAGGGTTGAGGGAGGAAGTCTGATTGTCTAGCATCTAGGATTCTACTCAGAGCTAATTTTCTAGAAATAAATTCTTCTAGTTCTGCCTCTCTTGGCTCCCTGTTTTGACCTCCACCTGACTCTAAACCCAAAGCTTCAGTCTAGATTCTTCTATATTAAGATTCAATCCAAAGAACGTAGTTTTGGTTGTCTCTGATTTTATAGAAATCTCCAGCACTTTGGGATTCACTGGTTTAGTCTAAGATTTTGCCTCTTAAAATTTTTTCTCATATATGTGAATAAGGAATCATGTGGGAGGATGCATATCACACTGTTAACACTAAGATGCTATTGGAGGGAATGAGATTGATTGTCTTTGTTTTTATGTCTTTGTGCAATATCGTTCTAATTGTTCCAATGAGATTGTATTACTATTTTAATGTGAAAACATCAAATAAAAAACTTTTACAGATTCTTTTCAGTATTTTTATAGTATCTTTAGTCTCTTTAGGGTGAACTGAAATCTGTCTACATTTTCTCTCATTTTGACATTTTAACATGAGGCAAGTTTAATTACAGAGGAAATAACTTTCCCCTGACAATCTAACTTGCCACTCAAAATATTTGTACTCTGTAGAAGGCTTGCTCTGAAAAGCAACTGGAAATGTTGTTTTGGGGGATTTAGCAATGGAGATTCTCAAATGGCAAATTTACCCTGAATAAGACAATGATAACAAAAAGACAGTTACTAGCAATAGAACTGCTAGAGACTATTCTAAGACCAGAAAGTCCTCCTGCCCACTCCTTTCCACCCTAATTTAAGATGAGAGGCCTTACGGTGCCAGCTAACTCACCTGTAGCTGACTTACCCTTCCACCTCCCCCACCAAATCATAAGATACATTCTTCCACTGCCAACCCTGTGTGTTCCCTGGGACTTCCAGTCAAGCATTCTTTTTCAATTTGGAAAGATTATATACCCTATCTTCTTATTTAGGATGTAATACTGAAGATATTCTAATTTCTTTTACTAGGTCTTCACAAATCCCTCTGAAAGTTACACTTAGCGTATTCTAGATACTTCTAGGTACCCTTGCTATATGTTAAGGTCTCTTAAGTCTTCTCTAGCTCTATTAGTAATTTTGTGTGCTATTTGGGACGTCTTTGGGGCAGACTCTCTCAATAACTCCAGAAGTGAAACATGGATAAGCTGACTGACTTTGCAAGGCAAGTGAAAGCTTTAAACATTATTTTTTTCAAAGTTTCGTGTTAGCAGGAACTCCCTGGGAGCACAGAGTAAGCATTTTTCATTCTGGATTTTCACCACCTAGTTAACTCAATCAGAAAAAAACAAGATTTACACTCTCACGTTACAAGGACCATTGACTATCCTTACACATGTTTGGATTGAGAAACCAGTTGACCAGACCTGAAAAAAAATTTAAGAATTAAAAAACTACCTTTCTTTCTTCCCCCTGTCATGGATTCCAAAGTCAATACTTGCTGCATCTCTAAGGCTGATACTCAGTGTGTGACTGGCTCTTCTATTTCCCCCCTGGCTTATTGCTCTCAGACTGGCTGACCTTTCTCTCATGGCTGAACCTGCAGGCAACCTGACGCTCTCCTGTTTCAGAGGAGCAGGTCTCATGTCTGCACACCCAGATATGTCAACTCATGCAGGGGCTCTGTTGTCATTTGTTGCTGTCTTTCTGTTCTGGCTTTATTGCTCCCATTTTTTTTACCATTATTATTAATAATCACCTATTTAGGATTTTGCAGGTCCATGTATCATATTATTTGACCCCCAGAAAAGCATTTTAAGGGTATATGATTATCTCCATTTTCAAATAAGAAAACTAAGACTTAAAGAGACTAAATTATTTTCTCAAGACCATGTTGTCAAAAGTATAAAAAGGAGTTCCTTAACCTTGGTTGTCTGATTCCAGGACCAATGTTCTTTTTGCTATATCATGGTGACTTCACATTTTTAATAATAAGTTTTAAATTTACACCTTTCTTAATTATGAGTGGATATAATAATTAATGGCATTATGGTGCTTTATTTTGTATCATTCCTCTTTTAATCTATCTGGAGACATTTATTTTTAATCACCTACAATGAATAATTGTTTATTATATAATTTAATGGTCCAGATATACACAGAACTAAACTCTTCTGAATTTTCCTTCGTAATTATAGCATGTGGAAAAAAAAACTATGACATTTGCTTACCTTGACCTACTTTAATGAAGTGATAATGCTTATTATTCGCAGCCATACATCCAAATGTTCCCTATCTCCATGCAAGTGTGTCTCAGCTGGAATAAATGCCCAGTTAATCAGAGGTGTTTAGTTTATCTTGCTAAACATTAATAATGCTGGTGCCTAATTCTCTGTAGTTATTACACAACTGTTCTGCTTACCATGAAATATTTGAACATAATCGAATAATTTTTAAATTTTTTGCGCAATTACAGACTCAGGAAATAATACACCAAACGTGTCATCTAGAAGGCAGTACTTTGACCTTGACAAGGAAAGTGAGATAGACAGTGAATAGTTACTTTCGTGACTCTTCATTCAGTGTTCTTCCCAGCTGTATTCCAGACACCTGCACTGAGGAACCACTGAATGGTTCTGCAGAGCCTCTTCCATCACATATGGGACACGAGTCAGAGCTTCCAAAACAGGTTGGGGGTGGGTGGGCAACACAACAAGCACTGCCAGGTTTTTCCATAGTCAAAATGAGCAAATGGATATGATGGTACTTCAAAGATTTTCTTAAGAAAACTAAATCTATAGATTTCTCCTTTTCTACCATAAAACATGCAAAATAGGTTTTTCCATAGTCAAAATGAGCAAATGGATATGATGGTACTTCATAGATTTTCTTAAGAAAACTAAATCTATAGATTTCTCCTTTTCTACCATAAAACATGCAAAATATGATATAAATGCTAAGGGAAGCAGCAGACATCTCTAAAATATTTTGAAAATACTATTACCACTAGTGGACTCTCCATTATCAAGTAATTCTGGATAAAAGCACTCTCTACCTCCACCACCTTCCATTCCTCTGTCTCCCCAATTTACATCAACAATAAGCCAGGAGTTGGGGGCATATCTTATTTGTCAGTGCAATATTTATGCAGTCAAAAGAAAATTTCCCTGCACATAAATAGCCAGCTTCTACTTCCAGTTCTGTAACAAACTTGTGACCTTGGGCAAGGCATTACCTTCTCTGTGCCTTACCTGCTGAACAGGAAAAATGCTTATTCTACCCTGTTTGCAAGGCATTGGGAAATGAATCTAAGACAATAGAGATGAGAAAAATCTAAATAGTATAAAGCACAATGGAAACAGAAATTATTATTAAACAAAATCCTTAGCCTAGTGAGCCTGACCAAGTGTGTTCTGTTGTATCTTTGTTTCCCTCACCACTATAACAAAGCAAGAGTAGTCACAGTGACCAGAGGATGTTCCTGTCATCAGGTATTGTTAAACCCACCTCTCCAAATGCATAGTGTAGTGGCTGGTTGAGAACTCAGACTCAGGGGTCACACAGATCTGGGGGTATATCCTGCCCCTGCTCACCTGCTGTGTGGCCTTTGTCAATTATTTTATATTTCCAAGCTTTAGTTTCTTCATCTAAAAATGGGGTAACATATTCATCTGTAAATCCCACCCCACAGGATTATGATAAAGATTAAATGAGGTAATGCATATTAAAAATACTTAACAGGAAACCTGGCACATAATGAACACCTGGTAAATGTTGTAAATATTGTCTCAACATTTAT